CTAACCTGTACCCCTGCACATTGACTCGGTACCGGTACCCCCTGTATATAGCCTCGTTATTGTTATTTTATTGTGTTACTTTTTATTATTTTTACATTAGTATATTTAGTAAATATTTTCTAAACTCTTTCTTGAACTGCTTTGTTGGTTAAGGGCTTGTAAGTAAGCATTTCACGGTAAGGTCTACACCTGTTGTATTCCGCGCATTTGACAAATACATTTATTTTTATTATTTTTTATGTGGAGGTCCTGGGCTGGCATGGTTACACGTGGTCTGCAGTTGTGAGGCCGGTTGGACATACTGCCAAAGTCTCTAAAACGACGTTGGAGGCGGCTTATGGTAGAGAAATGAACATTAAATTCTCTGGCAACAGCTCTGGTGGAAATTCCTGCAGTAAGCATTCCAATTGCATGCTCCCTCAAAACTTGAGACATCTGTGGCATTGTATTGTGACAAAACTGCACATTTTAGAGTAGCCTTTTATTGTCCCCAGCACATGCTGTTTAATCAGCTTCTTGATATGCCACATCTGTCAGGTGGATGGATTTCTTGGCCATGGAGAAATGCTCACTAACAGCGATGTTGTCACGACTTCCGCCGAGGCTGCCTCCCCTCCTTGTTCGGGCAGGCTTCGGCGTTCGCCGTCACCGGAGTACTAACCACTGCCGCCCCAATCATCATATCAATTGTCTTGTCAATCACACACACCTGGTTCTATTCCCCTAATTAGTCCATGTATAAGTGTTCCCTCTGCCCCCTTGTCCTTGTGGGTGATTGTTTGTTGTGGAGGTTAGTAGCTAGGTGGAGCTCTTGTAATCTGGTATCGACGGGAGTATTTTTCCCGTGTGCCTTGTATTTTCCAGTGCACCTGTTTTGTGCCCCGAAGTGTGTTTGACGCATTTCTGCGTAAACCTGTGTTTTTCAAATCAAAGCCTATTTCTGTGATTTACCCTCCTGCGCCTGACTCCTTCAACCCCACCTTATCACAGATGTAAACAAATTTGTGCCCAAAATTTGAGAGAAATACACTTTTTGTGCATATGGAACATCTCTGTGATATTTTATTTAATGAAACATGGGACCAACACTTTACATGTTGATTTAATATTTTTGTTTAGTATACATTGGATATAGGATGAAAAACAGACGTTGATTAAACAGTGAGAATATGCAAACATTTTAACATAACATTTTATGAAAATGTGATGGGAATTGTGTTGCAATTACCACATAGATTCTACTTGAGATTTTTAACCATTCTACGTAGAATTTTGAACAACATTTCAATGTATACATAGCTTGGATGATTACGTTGAAAATAGATTGATGTAACAACCTGTTCGTCAGGTTAAGTCATTGTATTTAAGTTGAAGTTTTACCCTAATTTCAATGTTTGGAACACTGATTGAAATTATATGAAAACAGTACTGGCTTTCTGCAAATCCAAATGTGTTTCAAACATAGATTCACAATATGTTGACAAATTACGTTGCAACAACGTTGATTCAACCAGTTTGTGCCCCGTGGGGTGTATCCATTATTTTGGCAGTTAGCTGTAGGTTATAGTTCTCCATAATGATATTCATTCGACAGCTCATATACAGTGTCCTGTATGATGGTGGGCCAGTGTGTGTCTGGTTGCGTGCGTTCCTCCAGAATGGCCCCATCTTGGTCCCTGGGGAGCACCACAGCCTGTCTGTCTGCGGTGAGAAAACATGCAGGCACATACATGTCCCTTACGTGTGGTGTGTGGGAGTAACATAACATGCCAATATGGGAATCATTCTCACCTCACATACATTGAGACAGACAGGCAGACAGTACTAGGGCGATAAGGCTTTGAAGGTGTCTGAATGTCTGTCTGCGAGGTATGACTGTGCTGTGTAGCAAGGCTACAGTAAGCAGAACGTCAAAGTTCATCCAAAGGGCGTTTGGCGAGAGGTTTCCGTGCCAGAAAGGCGGAAGCCTCAGACATGCACTGCAGTAAAGTATCCTAAGCACATAATTAGCGCTCTCACATGAATGGAATATTACTTCTGCATGATTTAATTGGAGAATGTAATGATTTACCGTGAGATGTGCTTCAACAGGTCTCTTACCAGCCAGAGACTCTGGGTGGCTATGATTATCAAATCAAATGTTTATTGGCCGCATACACATATTTAGCAGATGTTATTGCGGATGTAGCGAAATGCTTGTAAATCTGTAGCTGGAAAAATATTCTGTTTAGAAACTGCCTGAGCTTCATTTTATGAAGGTTTGGTTTCAGGTGGATTATTTGACTGTCTACAGTATTCTGTTTTCATTGTCCTTTTGTGATGGGGCTTATCATAGTAGCAGACCTATCAAAGAGATACAGCCAGATGTAGGTCATCTAGCCCAGAGGCCTGGCCAAGGTATTTCATTTCATAAGCCTAAAATATTTATTCCAGTCCAGTGAAAGTTACAGTACACCCACTGCGCACAGACGTCAGTTGTCAACTAATGTGAATTCAATGTGAAATCAACAAAACAAAAAAATCACCATGTCAATCAGTTCTACACATGGATTCAACGCCATGTGGAAACAACGTTGATTCATCCAGTTTTTGCCCAGTGGGCAGTTAGTGTGTGTGTTAAACCTCTGATTTACGGGGTCTACATGTTCCTGAATTCCAGCATCAAGTTACCTTTTCTATAGTGGAAACGTTGAATGAGATGAATGGTGTTAGCAAGTACTTCTGAAATCTAACCTTAACCCTTTTCCTAACCACAATAACATTATGGTAGGTGTTGGGTTACTTAGAAAGAAGACAACTTAGATTATTTTATTTTTTACGTAATCATGATGTATGTTATCATGGTAAGAAATGCAGAAGTTTATGTGTTTGAAATCCTTTTACACTGAATTTGCCATAATCAGTGATATATATATATATTTTTAAATATTTCCTTCAATGCATTTTTCCTCAAAAGGTGGGTAAACTGTTGGGCCCAAAATAATGGTGGGTAAACTGTTGGGCCCAAAATAATGGTGGGTAAACTGTTGGGCCCAAAAGCATGGTGGGTAAACTGTTGGGCCCAAAAGCATGGTGGGTAAACTGTTGGGCCCAAAAGCATGGTGGGTAAACTGTTGGGCCCAAAAGCATGGTGGGTAAACTGTTGGGCCCAAAAGCATGGTGGGTAAACTGTTGGGCCCAAAAGCATGGTGGGTAAACTGTTGGGCCCAAAAGAATGGTGGGTAAACTGTTGGGTCCAAAAGAATGGTGGGTAAACTGTTGGGCCCAAAAGCATGGTGGGTAAACTGTTGGGCCCAAAAGCATGGTGGGTAAACTGTTGGGCCCAAAAGCATGGTGGGTAAACTGTTGGGTCCAAAAGAATGGTGGGTAAACTGTTGGGCCCAAAAGCATGGTGGGTAAACTGTTGGGCCCAAAAGCATGGTGGGTAAACTGTTGGGCCCAAAAGCATGGTGGGTAAACTGTTGGGCCCAAAAGCATGGTGGGAAACTGTTGGGCCCAAAAGCATGGTGGGAAACTGTTGGGCCCAAAAGCATGGTGGGTAAACGGCGTTTGTGTTTACCCTCCACTACACCACTGCCCATAATTGTAAACATTGCTAGAAAAATTGAAATGTACTGTAGTCCAAGACAGCTGTACATGGAAAAAAATACAAATATTTCCTACTTCTCATGTATTCGTTCTACCTATGAGAATAACATCCACTGAATAAAAAGGTGCCACACAGGTGTCTTTAAAAGATCAGCAGTATGACTATCATTGCTTGTGTGATGTTGTACAAAGCTCAGTATGAAATGAGATTTAAAAAATGTTTTTAGTTTGCACAAAATAAAATACACAGTAAAACCAAAAAGTCGCTAGCTAGAACTATTTGGGCTTCTGTGATAAAAGATTAAGAAAATCACCTGTTCTACATAACATTATGTTTTAAAAACTAGGCTGAACCGTGAGTCCAGTCAGGCCACGGTTGGAAGGCAGGGCTTTGTGTACTGTGTAAAATTCCACAGCACGCTGGAAGCCTCTTGGCCCCTGCAGGTATTGGTGTAGTGTGTCAGATTCTTCTCTTCAGACGCTGCAGGTGTAGGTGTACTGTGTAAAATTCCACTGTGTGCTGATGAGTGGGAGTGCTCTCAACCATCACGCCACGTCCTTGCCAGGGTTACACCCCACCGTTCTCACCCTCCCTCAGCACAGACACACCAGACCATAACTGCGGGGGCTAAGTCTGGACTCAGGTTACTTCCATTGACACCTTTCCTGTAGCTTTTTAAGAAGTCACTGAGTGGTCACGGTGGAAGGAAATTACTTGAAAAAAAAAAAACTGTTTTTTTTTCTAAGAAGAAGTCTGAAATAACACACTCAGGAAAATAAACACACTCAAACGTGACAGAGAGGAATTAAAAAAAGGCAGACTGAGCGGCCGTTTCTATGGTGTTGAGTTTTGTTTTGTTATTCGAAATAGTGGGTTTGATTTTAAGACACACCCTGCGTTGAATAAACATAATTGAGATGTTTGAGGTATCCGGAGGGGGTGCACTTTGCCATCAAACACAACCTGAGGGTTTAAGAACACCTCCTATTCTATGGTTTCCATGATTTGCGATGAGATCACTTGTGTTTAGATCAGTAACAACTGTTTACAACTATCCTGGAGGAAAACCCTGCTACATCAAAAAACACAGCATACATACAAGAGTCAAACTTATCAAATGGAAAGTCAACCTGGAGCATGGAGTTTAGTTTACTGCTATTTTAAGACCTCTTAAGGCTTTACATCACTAAACATTAGGGTCCATAATAAGTCTCTGTCAGGTTGTTCAATCATATCCACCACAGGTTTCTATGGTTTCCACCAAACCCTCTTCATTCACATTAGATGGACAAAACAAACCAACAATGTTCCCCCAATTTTGTTGTTGTTGCTAAATATCATTGCCAATGTATGTCAATTCGCAAAGTCTGATAGCTTGACCTTGCTTCTGTCAGCATTCCGGCTCTCACTTCCGGGCTTTCTCCCGCTTCAGGAACATTTTGTTCTGGATCTCGTTGAGTGAGAGGGACACAGCGCAGCGTGAGGGATTCTCCTTCCTGTACACGATGCTCTCCTTAATGGCCTCTTTTATCACCTAGAAAGGTGGATGGAGGAGGTGGAATGGATTAAACACTCTGTATTAACCTACACATGTGGCTAGTCAATTGACCGTTAACAAGCAATCATAATGAATTGAAATGTGATTTTTTTTTAGATAAAAAAAAAACTAATCAGCATAGGCCTACACACAGGTGTTTGATTTCCAGGGGCCCCTAGTTAGTGATGGATAATTGAGCAAACTTTGATGTTGCTGGAATGTTTTACGTACATTACATCTGGCTGGCTGAACTGACATTTACGTTGTTGGAATATTGTTTTACATACATTAGTTCTGGCTAACTGAACAGACCTCTTCGTTGAGGGTGGTTTGAACAGGAGTCAGGATGCACATTCCCATCTACCACATACAGTACTAATGTCATATTGGGAAACCCCTTTAGTCACGGGCATTTTAGTTCTGACCCACTTTTTAGACAGCCTCACACAGTGCTTAATAACTGAATGTCAATTTGACCTTGATTTTTAAAAACACCTCACCATAACACACCAACCCAGACAAAACTAGTATGGCTCCAGCATTCAAACTGAGCTTGATGTCTGAATATTCAAAATCAACATATTTCCTTTTAAGAGCACTTATTGGTTCAAATGTTCCAAAAACTGTCTGACCTTCTAACATATTAGAAACGGATGTACAGTAGCCAGTGGTGATGTTGTTGAATGCTGAACATACCTCGATGTTGTTGAGCGTATTGAATTCCATGAGGTCGTGGAGCTGTGTGAAGGCCTGGTTTGAGTACTGGAAGTTAAAAGTGGAGTACGGTGTCTCGGGGTCGTCAAAGATGTCAAAGTCAGCCATCTCCTTCTCCTGTTCTGTCTCACGAGGCACTCCTTCAAACACACAGAAAAGGGATGATATGTAATTCAGGATGATAGTGACTATGATAGCCTATATCATATGGCTAATTCAGAACTATGGTTGTTTCAGCCCAAACTCCAGTGGATTACGCACTGTCAATTCATTTTAACAATGGCGAAGTTACGTGATGGCTAGTCATTTTATTTACATGGCCATTTCTCCTCCACTAGGGGCAATACGAGTGCCTGTTAACATCTAGTAACTGTTATCTAGTAGCTGTAACAGTATCTGTTAAACTGAGCTATGGCTCCGAACATCGCGGGTTCAATCGCAGTGCTAGGCACTCGTTTTTTTTTCATTTTATTTTTTTACCCTAACCCAAACCTTTACTCTAACCTTGGAATGAATGCCTAAACTCAACCAAAACTGTGAACTAACAGAATGAATGCCTAAAGTTAACCCTTGAGGTTAGTTTCGGTTTCACTGTTGCGCAGTTTGACTGACGGCTAACAGGACGTGAACTACACAAAACAGCCACACACTCTGTAAATTGTTGCCTGCAGGTACGGCAATTCTTTCCGTCTGCCTTACGAGGTTGGGTTCTTTTTACACGTCTTCTCATGTGTTTGCTAATTCTACTAATTTATAATCCCTAAATGAGGGCACACTTGTCATTGACTCTACAGGGGATTACCAGACCAGTGATATAACCTACTCTCTTTCTCTCTCCTACACAGAGATAAATACATCAGCGTATGACTAAATGTGAGTGGCCCTCATCATGAGGCCCTAAACACTATAATTCAGTGTGTGAGGCAGCGCAGAAGCCAGGCCAGTGTCTATATGTGTTCCTATGGCTGATGATGTATACCCTTTTTACACACACTGCTCTCCCAGCATAGTGAGAGATTCCCCCCATAGCACCTGGTCACAGATTTGCTCCTTATGGGTTCATAAGTCACCCAACTAGGCAGCTCGTAAAATACCAATCCCACACACGGCCCAGTTCTCCACCATAAACCCTCAACTTCCTTAGGGGCATATTCCCTATGGACAAACAGTCAGTAAGGGGCCTAATCTTATGTATGGAATACATCGGAACAGACCAGACTTGATCAGAATACACTGGACTTGATCTAGGAACCAAAACCAAGATAGGGGAGACCAGTCACTAAAATAACATAGCTTATAGCGAAAAGCCCCATAGCCTAATTGAAGAGGAAATCACTTTCAAACAGGGTTCACATAGTTCACATGTACACAAACAACCTGTACAAACATACATATGGTATACACTGTACATATACAGTACTTACCAGGGGCTTTGAACATCCTGAAGTTGATGTTGACCAGGACAAAATGGATGACAGTGGGGCAGTTCCGTTCCCCCTTTTTTGGCTTGAATACGTAGCACTCTTTCAGGCCCTCGCGGTCAAACACTTTGGGGTCGATCTTAGGGAATGGCAACTTGTTCATCCGGGCCCACTTCTCAGCCAGCAGCAGCTCCTATATACCAAACACAAGTCAAAAGTTAGCCTCTTGATTACTACGGCATAGTAAAATGATTAACTTTATCCTAACTACTTAATCATTTTTTAAAAAATTGCTTACAAAATAATCTTCAATGATAAAATGAAATAAACACAAACATTTTAAAACAAAGTACTGGCAGGCGGAGCTTGGCATCACAATGACCTGACCTTCAGGGTGACCACATTTAAAATACCTAATATATTAAAATGCATCCTCCAATTGCAATGTGCTGCCTATGACAACATATATTGTCTCAAGAAATGTTTTTATTTGTAATACCCTCAAACACCAAGTTAGGCATACCTAATTTCAAAATAGGCCATCATCACTGTCAATCATTTACATTTACGTCATTTAGCAGACGCTCTTATCCAGAGCGACTTACAGTTAGTGCATACATTAATCTTTTTATTTTTTAATTTTTTATTATACTGGCCCCCCGTGGGAATCGAACCCACAACCCTGGCGTTGCAAACGCCATGCTCTACCAACTGAGCTACCTCCCTGCCGGCCATTCCCTCCCCTACCCTGGACGACGCTGGGCCAATTGTGCGCCGCCCCATTGGTCTCCCGGTTGCGGCCGGCTACAGCAGAGCCTGGATTCGAACCAGGATCTCTAGTGGCACAGCTAGCGCTGCGATGCAGTGCCTTAGACCACTGCGCCACTCGGGAGGCTAATCATGAATAATAATACTTCGCGTTTTACAGTGAAACGTCCAAACTGCATCTGCAAGCCAATAATTTGATGTCAATCAGTTTCATGAGAATATGCATTTAGATCTTCTTGAATTACTGTTTCGTGAGCGAATTAGAGCACATGGTGTTAACAAACTATATCCTGTATCATTCTGCGTGCTGTTGAGTTTTGGCCGCATTTTAGTATTTTTTGACTATTCAGCTAACCATCCTAAAATCTCATAAGAAATCAGGTGGTGTTTTTGGTGTAACAGTAATGTTATACTATGTGATTATATTTGGTTCTGTTATGTGAGGTACTAATTAATCATTATGTGATGTTCCAAGACATTGATTGAGGTTTGATCTAACTTCACTAAACGAGAACCATTGTGATAAGTGGCGGCGCGATGCTCCGGCCACACCTGCTCCCGCTGCACTGAGTGCACAAAGGCAATGTAAAACTGTTAGGAAGGGAGACTTTTAAAACATGGTTGAGAGAAGTAGCAGCAAATACAGTGGGGAAAAAAAGTATTTAGTCAGCCACCAATTGTGCAAGTTCTCCCACTTAAAAAGATGAGAGAGGCCTGTAATTTTCATCATAGGTACACGTCAACTATGACAGACAAAATGAGGAAAAAAAATCCAGAAAATCACATTGTAGGATTTTTAATGAATTTATTTGCAGATTATGGTGGAAAATAAGTATTTGGTCAATAACAAAAGTTTCTCAATACTTTGTTATATACCCTTTGTTGGCAATGACACAGGTCAAACGTTTTCTGTAAGTCTTCACAAGGTTTTCACACACTGTTGCTGGTATTTTGGCCCATTCCTCCATGCAGATCTCCTCTAGAGCAGTGATGTTTTGGGGCTGTCGCTGGGCAACACGGACTTTCAACTCCCTCCAAAGATTTTCTATGGGGTTGAGATCTGGAGACTGGCTAGGCCACTCCAGGACCTTGAAATGCTTCTTACGAAGCCACTCCTTCGTTGCCCGGGCGGTGTGTTTGGGATCATTGTCATGCTGAAAGACCCAGCCACGTTTCATCTTCAATGCCCTTGCTGATGGAAGGAGGTTTTCACTCAAAATCTCACGATACATGGCCCCATTCATTCTTTCCTTTACACAGATCAGTCGTCCTGGTCCCTTTGCAGAAAAACAGCCCCAAAGCATGATGTTTCCACCCCCATGCTTCACAGTAGGTATGGTGTTCTTTGAATGCAACTCAGCATTCTTTGTCTTCCAAACACGACGAGTTGAGTTTTTACCAAAAAGTTCTATTTTGGTTTAATCTGAGAGAATATGACATTCTCCCAATCCTCTTCTGGATCATCCAAATGCACTCTAGCAAACTTCAGAAGGGCCTGGACATGTACTGGCTTAAGCAGGGGGACACGTCTGGCATTGCAGGATTTGAGTCCCTGGCGGCGTAGTGTGTTACTGATGGTAGGCTTTGTTACTTTGGTCCCAGCTCTCTGCAGGTCATTCACTAGGTCCCCCCCGTGTGGTTCTGGGATTTTTGCTCACCGTTCTTGTGATCATTTTGAGATCTTGCGTGGAGCCCCAGATCGAGGGAGATTATCAGTGGTCTTGTATGTCTTCCATTTCCTAATAATTGCTCCCACAGTTGATTTCTTCAAACCAAGCTGCTTACCTATTGCAGATTCAGTCTTCCCAGCCTGGTGCAGGTCTACAATTTTGTTTCTGGTGTCCTTTGACAGCTCTTTGGTCTTGGCCATAGTGGAGTTTGGAGTGTGACTGTTTGAGGTTGTGGACAGGTGTCTTTTATACTGATAACAAGTTCAAACAGGTGCCATTAATACAGGTAACGAGTGGAGGACAGAGGAGCCTCTTAAAGAAGAAGTTAGGTCTGTGAGAGCCAGAAATCTTGCTTGTTTGTAGGTGACCAAATACTTATTTTCCACCATAATTTGCAAATAAATTCATAAAATATCCTACAATGTGATTTTCTGGAGAAAAAAATTCTCAATTTGTCTGTCATAGTTGACGTATACCTATGATGAAAATTACAGGCCTCTCATCTTTTTAAGTGGGAGAACTTGCACAATTGGTGGCTGATGAGCATGGAGAGCCTCACAAGTTCGACAAAATTACCTTATATCTTTCAGTCTAATATGTCTATTTACTTAATTTGTAGTTTTTCGACAGGAGTACGCTTTTTATAAGTGGTTAGGCCAAACTGTCCTCTCCAAGTTTAGCTGGAATTTAACCTGAAAGGATTCGAGAAATGTGATTGATTGACAATAGGCATATGACATCGGCCTATGTCTTGTCTTGCGCTGCGCAGAACATCAGATCTCAACAACGATTGGAGAAGTGTTTAACATCACCAGTACCACATCCTTATGATGTATATTTTTTCATAAGCACAACGTGACTGGAAGAGACAGGTTGGAATGTCTGACTGAAATACGTGACAAAACAACTTATTTTTTCTAAATTAGTGATGTTTGAATTTGTTGCTAAAATGTGGGACATGATTGTTTGGTTGCGGGACGCAGGACAAAGGGCCAAAATGCGGCACTGTCCTGCACAATCCGGGACATGTGGTCAACCTACTGACCTTGAAGGGTGGGCTGGAGTCACTGGGGCGGGCTGAGAAGTCGAAGGAGATGATGAGGTCGACGCCACGCTGCGGCCGCAGGATGAGGGGGTACGGGAGGTTATAGGTCAGACCACTGTCCACTATGTGGATCTTCTTACTCTTCACGTCCAGTGGCTCGTAGATACCAGCAAACTCATCTGGGTCTGAGAATGTTATGGATTACAATGCAGAATAAATACAGAACGTGTTACAGTAGAAATGCGTAAGGAGACGTATGTGTGTGTTGATTGGTTGTGTGTGTGATGGTCATGTTGTAACTGTTTCCATATGTACACAGTAGAGGTCTTCATGGATCCACATGTACCCGAATACCCGAGAGGGTCTGGATCCAGAATTCTAAATAATGTCACAGGTCTGGGTGGGATCTGATATGATTGTCATGGGTCTCGGGTATGTGTAATTTTAACCGACTTGTCTGGTCGGGTCCGTGTACAGATCCCAACGCGACTGCTGCAGTTGCTCTTGCTTTTCACGAGAGTGGACGTGGCGTGTTGAGCTTGTTGTTGTTGTTAGCCAATCATAAGTCATCAATGGGGCAATAGGCTACAGTCATAGAGCCTCAGTGTGTGGCAAAAGTCTAATCAATGGAAGATGGAATTATAATGACGGAATTAAAAGTTAAAGGAAAAGGATAGGCTACAGTGACCAAGAGCCAACAGGTGTGTGAACAGTGCTTGTGCCCATAGAGATTGATGTGGCGCGTGCACGTGGGCGCAATGCTCCCCAATACTGGAAGGGGGGCCCGAGTGAAAAAGTACACAGTCTGGCAATTAGTAAAGCTATTGTGCTGTAACTGTACTGTAATTGTACTGTTTTACTACACAGTCAAACTTAACTCTATCACTACCATAACTCCACCGTAAGTTAATTGAATAGTACACAGCTCCAACAAGAGCTCTATTGCCAAGCTCTACTGCAGGGTTCCCCAACTGGTGGCCCGTGGGTGGTTTTATTTGGCCCCACAAGTTTTTATTTTATTTTTGTATTTTATTGTTGGACACAAAAGACTCTAAAAACACCAGGAAATCAGCGCCAAGTGATTTTAATTTAGGAAATCTGTTCCCAAGATTTTTTTCCCACGCCCTAATTGCTCCTGTGAGTCGCTCTGGATAAGAGCATCTGCTAAATTACTAAAATGTAAAAATGTTAATAATACAGAGATGTGATCGTATACAAATGAAATTATTATGTGTCAGTCAAATATTATATCTGTTTGGGATTCTTGCGGTCAATTTGCAGTCTACAAATTATTTGTAATTATGTTCCAGTCCCCCCGACTATCCGCTGAAGAAAAAATTGGTTGATAATCCCTACTCTGCTGGATCTAGAATTTGCTGCAGTGGAGAGGGTCAAAAGCTTCAAGTTCCTCGGTGTGCACATCACAGAGGATCTGACTTTTCACTACTACTTGTTCTTTTTTTACTTTTGTATTTGGCATTTGATTCTTGATGGATATTGATAATGTACTGCATTGTTGAGGAGAGTTAGCAAGTAAGCATTTCACTGTACTGTGCACATGACAAATAAACTTTGATTTGATTTGCTTTATCTAGAATCTAACAGGTCATAGATCTGTCATATCTGGAATCTAGAATGTGTCACATCTAGAACTCCTAGATATCCATATGTGACATCTGACCTGTGACAGCGTCAACCTCATCCTCGACGGAGGCACAGGAGTTCTGGTACATAAAGTCTCCAAAGGTGGAGAAGGGCATGTTGGTGTTGAGGTTGAGGCCTAGCATGAAGTTATGGACCTTCCCCGCCCGCCCCTCTCGCGTGTTGAACAGGGAGGAGTCGCTGACGAGGGAGGTGATCATTCGCTGGACCCAACTGTTCTTGGCGGTGCGGAACTCGTCTTCCGTCTCTGGGCAGAGATGGAGGAAAAGAAAGGTGGCAAGGGAGAGAGAAGGGGACAATGTTGATAAAGGGAGGCACATGGGATGTACAGTAGGCTTACAGTATGCATTTGGTAGCTAGAGATGCTTGATAGGCCTTGATCTGAAGTGCACAGCTCCTCGAGGGCTACAGTTTAATTGATAAATCGTTCAGTCTACACACCCAGGTATAAAAATATGATATACTGTATAGTAGGTATATTGTCTGATACTACAAGGCAAGGATAGAATCTGGCATACTGGAGTTGTGCACCCGTCCCCTTGGTAGGGGAGAGCCAGGACGAAAGTAAGACGCCCATTTTCTCAGATAAGACAGAAGCTAGAATTATGTAGTGGAGTCAGCATGCGGAGGATGAGCTCCCTCTGTTTCACAGAGTTATCAACAAAAAGTGGTTTTGAGCAATGTAAGTTAAAAAAAGTGTTTTTCGGTTGTAATTACAGTTGCTAATGGTAGAGGACATACACTGAGTGTACAAAACATTAAGGACACCTGCTCTTTCCATGACATAGACTGACCAAGTGAATCCAGGTGAAAGCTATGATCCCTTATTTATGTCACTTGTTAAATCCACTTCAATCAGTGTAGATGAAGGGGAGGAGACAGGTTAAATAAGGATTTTTAAGCCTTGAGACATGGATTGTGTATGTGTGCCATTGAGAGGGTGAATGGGCAAGACAAAATATTTAAGTACCTTTGAATGGAGTAGGGTAGTAGGTGCCAGGCACACCGGTTTGTGTCAAGAACTGCAATGCTGCTGGGTTTTTCATGCTCAACAGTTTCTTGTGTCAAGAATGGTCCACCACCCAAAGGACATCCAGCCAAAAACACTGTGGGAAGAATTGGGCCAGCATCCCTTTGGAACGCTTTTGACACCTTGTGCAACTCGATATTAGGAAGGTGTCCTTAATGTTTTGTACACTCAGTGTATATAAGTTGTTTGTCATGGAAGATGGTCTAGCTCTATCGATCTTTGAGTGATTAGGAAAAAAACTAAAAGTGTTACTTTCGTCCCAGTTCTCCCCTATTTGCCTGACTAGGTTTGGGCGATATTACCATAGCATCGTCTACCAACAATGATTGACAGCCATCGTTGATGGTGACGACATTGTGATGTGACAGACAATGGTTTAGCCTATTTTAACTATATAGCCAACTACACTGCTCAAAAAAATTAAGGGAACACTTAAACAACACATCCTAGATCTGAATGAATGAAATAATCTTATTAAATACTTTTTTCTTTACATAGTTGAATGTGTTGACAACAAAATCACACAAAAATTATCAGTGGAAATCAAATTTATCAACCCATGGAGGTCTGGATTTGGAGTCACCCTCAAAATTAAAGTGGAAAACCACACTACAGGCTGATCCAACTTTGATGTACTGTCCTTAAAACAAGTCAAAATGAGGCTCAGTAGTGTGTGTGGCCTCCACGTGCCTATATGACCTCCGTACAACGCCTGGGCATGCTCCTGATGAGGTGGCGGATGGTCTCCTGAGGGATCTCCTCCCAGACCTGGACTAAAGCATCCGCCAACTCCTGGACAGTCTGTGGTGCAACGTGGCGTTGGTGGATGGAGTGAGACATGATGTCCCAGATGTGCTCAATTGGATTCAGGTCTGGGGAACGGGCGGGCCAGTCCATAGCATCAATGCCTTCCTCTTGCAGGAACTGCTGACACACTCCAGCCACATGAGGTCTAGCATTGTCTTGCATTAGGAAGAACCCAGGGCCAACCGCACCAGCATATGGTCTCACAAGGGGTATGAGGATCTCATCTCGGTACCTAATGGCAGTCAGGCTACCTCTGGCGAGCACATGGAGGGCTGTGCGGCCCCCCAAAGAAATGCCACCCCACACCATGACTGACCCACCGCCAAACCGGTCATGCTGGAGGATGTTGCAGGCAGCAGAACGTTCTCCACGGCGTCTCCAGACTCTGTCATGTCTGTCACATGTGCTCAGTGTGAACCTGCTTTCATCTGTGAAGAGCACAGGGAGCCAGTGGCGAATTTGCCAATCTTGGTGTTCTCTGGCAAATGCCAAACGTCCTGCATGGTGTTGGGCTGTAAGCACAACCCCCACCTGTGGACATCGGGCCCTCATACCACCCTCATGGAGTCTGTTTCTGACCGTTTGAGCAGACACATGCACATTTGTGGCCTGCTGGAGGTCATTTTGCAGGGCTCTGGCAGTGCTCCACCTGCTCCTCCTTGCACAAAGGCGGAGGTAGCGGTCCTGCTGCTGGGTTGTTGCCCTCCTACGGCCTCCTCCACGTCTCCTGATGTACTGGCCTGTCTCCTGGTAGCGCCTCCATGCTCTGGACACTACGCTGACAGACACAGCAAACCTTGCCACAGCTCGCATTGAGGTGCCATCCTGGATGAGCTGCACTACCTGAGCCACTTGTGTGGGTTGTAGACCACTGTAGCTCAGTTGGTAGAGCATGGCACTTGCAACGCCAGGGTTGTGGGTTCCTTTCCCACGGGGGGCCAGTATGAAAATGAAAATGTATGCACTCACTAACTGTAAGTCGCTCTGGATAAGAGCGTCTGCTAAATGACTAAAATGTAAATGTAGACTCCGTCTCATGCTACCACTAGAGTGAAAGCACCGCCAGCATTCAAAAGTGACCAAAACATCAGCCAGGAAGCATAGGAACTGAGAAGTGGTCTGTGGTCACCACCTGCAGAACCACTCCTTTATTGGGGGTGTCTTGCTAATTGCCTATAATTTCCACCTGTTGTCTATTCCATTTGCACAACAGCATGTGACATTTATTGTCAATCAGTGTGGCTTCCTAAGTGGACAGTTTGATTTCACAGAAGTGTGATTGACTTGGAGTTACATTGTGTTGTTTAAGTGTTCCCTTTATTTATTTTTAGCAGAACGCAAGAGAGGAATGTAGGAGAAGAGAATTCCACCAAAGCAAAGCAAAATGTCCAGTCAGAAAATAGCCTATTGTTTCTCTCTCTCTCTCTCTGTTGGATGCATGGGCATTAGGCAATAGCCTAAACCTAATTTTGTTTTATAACGGACACTCCTTAACTATCTTGTGTCTAACCGTTTAAAAACATTTAGCCTATATACCCTTCTCTCTCCATTCGATAGGCTATGAATATGACTGAAGGCTACGCTTCATCATTTTATGCATGGCTTTTTCCCGATCAAACAATGAATGTAACGGAGTTCCATCTCAAAGTTTTTTGAATAGCCTAAAAATGTAAGGTATTCTAGCCTGAAATTGTTGTGGCTTTCAAAAATAACAACACTGAAAGTCTATAGCCTAAGCCTAAGCATATTCTATTCTCAATCACAGCTTTATGAGAGATACAGTTGAAGTCGGAAGTTTACATACACCTTAGCCAAATACATTTAATCTCAGTTTTTCACAATTCCTGACATTTAATTCCCTGTCTTAGGTCAGTTAGGATCACCACTTTATTTTAAGAATGTTAAATGTCAGAATAATAGTAGAGAGAATGATTTATTTCAGCTTTTATTTATTTCATCACATTCCCAGTGGGTCAGAAGTTTACATACACTCAATTAGTATTTGGTAGCATTGCCTTTAAATTGTTTAACTTCGGTCAAACGTTTCGGGTAGCCTTCCACAAGCTTCCCACAATAAGTTGGGTAAATGTTGGCACATTCCTCCTGACAGAGCTGGTGTAACTGAGTCAGGTTTGTAGGCCTCCTTGCTCGCACACACTTTTTCAGTTCTGCCCACAAATATTCTATTGGATTGAGGTCAGGGCTTTGTGATGGCCGCTCCAATACCTTGACTTTGTTGTCCTTAAGCCATTTTGCCACAACTTTGGAAGTATGCTTGGGGTCATTGTCCATTTGGAAGACCCATTTGCAACCAAGCTTTAACTTCCTGACTGATGTCTTGAGATTTTGCTTCAATATATCCACATAATTTTCCTTCCTCATGATGCCATCTATTTTGTGAAGTGCACCAGTCACTCCTGCAGCAAAGCACCCCCACAGCATGATGCTGCCACCCCCGTGCTTCATGGTTGGGATGGTGTTCTTCGGCTTGCAAGCTACCCCCTTATTCCTCCAAACATAACGATGGTCATTATGGGCAAACTGTTCCATTTTTGTTTCATAAGACCAGAGGACATTTCTCCAAAAAGTACGATCTTTGTCCCCATGTGCAGTTGCAAACCGTAGTCTGGCTTTTTTATGGCGGTTTTGGAGCAGTTGCTTCTTCCTTGCTGAGTGGCCTTTCAGGGTATGTCGATATAGGACTCGTTTTACTGTGGATATAGATACGTTTGTACCTGTTTCCTCCAGCATCTTCACAAGGTCCTTTGCTGTTGTTCTGGGATTGATTTGCACTTTTCGCACCAAAGTACGTTCATCTCTAGGATACAAAACGCGTCTCCTTCCTGAGTGGTAAGACGGCTGCGTGGTCCCATGGTGTTTATACTATTGTTTGTGCAGATAAACGTGGTACCTTCAGGCATTTGGAAATTGCTCCCAAGGATGAACCAGACTTGTGGAGGTCTACCATTTTTTCTGAGGTCTTGGCTGATTTCTTTTGATTTTCCTATGATGTCAAGTAAAGAGGCACTGAGTTTGAAGGTAGGCCTTGAAATACATCCACAGGTACACCTCCAATTGACTCAAATGATGTCAATTAGCCTATCTGAAGCTTCTAAAGCCATGACATATTATTTAGTTTTCTATTATTTTATGAGGCAAATAAAGGAAATATTATCCAGTTCTGCAGATGGTAGACTGCTTCTATCCAGCCCATGACGTAGGCCTATAACCTAGCTCACTATGGCAAGACAGCCCGTTCCTAATCAGACAGTCACTGCTCCATCAATGCAGCATCAGGGCGGTGACTTCCCCTGAACAGTTTGAATGTGTCAAAACAGACCACACACTTCTTCAGGTTTCTGTGTATTTCGTATGAATAATTATGCATCATGGATACTGCAGTTCTCACCTTTCTGAGGCCTCTCATCATTATCTAGACTGTCCTCCCCCACAATGTGTTGAGGCTTTAACTGTTCTGTGGGAAAAGACAAGGACATCTTCTTTAATGGCACTTTCACTCATATCCAAGTCTTCACTACATCTCAAAAACACAGAGGTTATCACAGCATGACATGTATTGCTTAGGCTGTCCAATTAACTTTCAATTGTTTAGGCCCTACCTTTTTATAAACTAATTTGCAACAATGGCTTACATAACAAACACAATATAACAATTGGCATTTAACATAAACCAGTAAATTCTTGGAATGGGTGTAGGTGTACCTTCTTGCAGATGCAGTGGGTGCACATTTTATGTGCACTCACTGCATCTGCAAGCAGGTACTGTATGTATTCTATTGTAGGTATGTGTGTTGGTGTGCTAAAAGTTCAAATCAAACACCAACAGCCCATTAAACAAACATCTTAATAAGCAGTTATCAATAATGACAGGAAGCTGAACATAATCTTTATTTTGATCGAGGGGGAATCACATCCACATCTGTGAAACCCCAGTAGAAAGTTATTTTAGGAACTGCTTGACGGGTGTGATGTGAGCTGACATCAGGTACAGCTGTCACTAGCATGTCACATTCATCTGCGTTCACACAAAAGAGTCAGACGTACCGTACGTAATAGGAAACAGAATACAATGGGAGGTGCAGTTGGCTTGCGTTGCGCAGAGCAGACACAACACATTGGATTGGGACTATGGGATAACACAACACATAGGAACTAAGCCTTTGGGCTAAGCACAGTCATTGTCTTCAGGTCTATAAGCTGCAATGTATGAGCTGCACAAGACAAGTCTATGTGCTGTACTAACTGTGGAGGAGACCATGATGTGGTACTTTATCTGTACAGGATGCATGACTTCATTTGGGTCAGGGATAAGACCAGAGGTCAGGGTTAGGATTGGGGCTATAAGGAAAGTGTGTGTGGTTTCTTACCAAGCTCTTCCTCCATGGTGCTTCCCCCGACTGTGTCTTTGACCCCCAGCACTCTGTTGAAGAGGATGGAGAAGGCACTCCCCCAAACCCCTGGAGAGAGAGAAACCCACTAGATCAACATCAATATCATGTAATGACTTATGAATGCCATGTTTGATGATAGCTTATCATGTGAGGTTATCTCTTCAGGAAGTCCTATGCGGAAGTGCCAGCAATATTCTGTTGTTTGTGTGTGTGTGTGTGTGTCTAAGTCTGGGTTTTCTTACCCATAAGGAAATGTAGTGGGTTCTCTTCATACTGCTTCACAGCGGTTCCCATGAAGAACTTGCTTCCAAAAAGGTCAGGGGTCATGAACGTTCCGTACTTTGCCATTCCAATCTCATACGGGCTGAACTCCACCCAGTCTGTCAAAAAAAGTGTACAATTAGAACAAAATCAATCAGTGTATGTAACTAGCTAACTATTTTATTAGGCGAGCACACTGTAGACCAGGTTTACAGTAACAGTGCAAGCCAGAAGCAACTGTCATTATGACCTCCATTACTGGAACCAAGTGACGGGGGGGGTATGCCCTACATGACTGTAGTGACACAACACATATAATTGTAAGGCACAACACAACACAACACACTGTTCACACATTATAAGTCTGACAGAGTTCCTCAGAATGACAGTACACTATCACCTTTCAGCCAATCATTGGTCCTGGATTAAGGAGAATAATATTACTACTGTACTGTAAGTTATGTGGTGTTATTTTTGCCTTTCTCTGGGATAGGTGTGAAAGCATTACCTTGTCACACCAGAGATAAAAGGTGGAGGACTTACAGTGAAAATAAGTAACTGACTAACTGATGTAATATTCTATTCCAGCTAATCTGTAAAATACACTGGAACACCAACATTCATTTGCATGAACATTATGAATAATATGTTGGTCACTGTACCAATAACTCAGCATACAGTCATGGACTCAGTCACCCTAACAGGGGACAGGTTGTCCCTAAGGACTGTTTTGAGGTCCGTTTTTCATGTCATTATGATTCAAGCTAAAATTAGAGAAAGATCCTAGATCAGGAGTAGGGGCGTACCACAACCACATTGACACCTACATAACATCGCACTTCCACATTGTACTACTACACCTACCTATTTTGTGACGATATATCTATTGTTTTGACAATATCTCAATATTATTTTTGAGCTAGTTGGCTGTACCTGCCCCAAAACCCCAGTTTGTTTCATTCATAGCTTGTTCTCCATCTTCTTTTTAAATAGGTAGGCAATTTGTTTTCAGCACTTTTATTTCCATGACTGATCAAAACTTGTTTTCTCAAGGCTCTCTCTTTTCCCTCTGCAGCAGACATATGGTGAGCAATAGGTTTGGAACATCGAATCGCAAAAAAAATCACAGTATCGAATCGCAATACATATAGAATCGTGAGAATCAGCGAGAATCGCAATACATATCGTATCGGCACCTAAGTATCGTGATAATATCGTATCGCAATTCCCAGCACTAACACTTACACATTGTTGATGTTCCTTCTCATACTACAGCACTAAAACTACAGGAATGCCTGGGGTCAATATATTGTTAGCTACATTCGCTGTTTTGGAATACCATTTGCATAATCCTTTGTTCTTCATCACCTCCAGTTCCTCCTTACCTTCAGTAACAGAGACTGTTTCAGACCTGCAAATTGTTCAGACTCGTGTCACTATGAATTCGTTTTAAAATGATGGGGACAAACTTAACCAGCACAGGCAATATGCCAGTACATTCATGGATGACTGTTCAGTGCTGTCTAATGTCTCAAAGCAACATTTGAATATCAGCCCACCATGACACATCAGTGTGTGTGAAATGAATGATGCTCCAAAGAAATGTAGAGAATGGACATTTGCATGTGGGAGAGATTATCTGACCATCTCTGGTAACTCATAATGCAGAAGGAATACACATACTCATTGTACTAGAGATGCAAACAAACACACACACACACACACACTTCAGAACTTCGATCATCCATTCCAACTACATGACCAGTACTGCGAACACACTCACACTACGTGCATGACACAGGTGGCTGGTGGTACGTTAATTGGGGAGGACGGGCTCATTGTAATTGCTAGAACAGAATGAATGGAATGGTATCAAACACATCAATGAGTTTGAGTCTGATACCATTCCATTCACTCCATCCCAGCCATTTTTATGAGCCGCCCTCCTCTCACCAGCCTTCTGTGGTGAATGAACTCCTATTGAAATGCTATGCTTCATTGAACAACTGAGAAGAGCCTCAGAGCCACACTGACCTTGTGATCTACAGTAATACATACATACAGACACACACCAACTCCCACACACAAACGTTAACACACCATTATGAATGTAAATCAGTAAGTTCAAGGCAGGTCTTACGCAGGTTTACTCAAACTGACCACAGTGATTGTTGCGTAACCATCGTGTGAACAAACACACACACAGAACACCCACAACGCATACACAGTCACTGACCTGCGAACATGAGCTCGGACACGTCTGGTTTGACGTGCAGACAAGTGAACAGAGGGAGAGGACACTGGGCCTCGTTCACCTTCTCCTGCAACTCACTCAGCTTTGTGTCCATCCTCTGATGAAAACAGAGAAACAATGGGAGTTATAGTCAGTTTAGTTTCATCCTGAGAGAGAGAGAGAGAATTGACTATGTACAGACAGCCTTGCTATTGAGAAAGGCCGCCATAGGCAGACCTGGCTCTCAAGAGAGGACAGGCTATGTGCACACTGCCCACAAAATGAGGTGGAAACTGAGCTGAACTTCCTAACCTCCAGCCAAATGTATCACCCCATATTAGAGACACATATTTCCCTCAGATTACAGAGATCCACAAAAAATTACAAAACAAACCCAATTTTGATAAACTCCCTTCTCTACTGGGTGAAATACCACAGTGTGCCATCAAAGCAGCAAGATTTGTGACCTGTTGCCACAAGAAAAGGGCAACCAGTGAAGATGTCACGACTTCCTCCGAAGCTGCCTCCTCTCCTTGTTTGGGCAGGCTTCGGCGTTCGTAGTCACCTGCCTTCTAGCCACTGCCGCTCCTCACTGCCGCTAGTCATCTCATCATTCCATTTGTTTTGTCTTGTTTATTACACACACCTGGTTCACATCCCCTCATCAGTACCTGTATAAGTGGTCCCTCTGCCCCCCTTGTCTTTGTGTGTGATTGTTTATTGTAGAGGAGATTATAGCTCGGTGGAGCTATTGTGTTTTGTATCACCGGGATATTCACCTGTGTGCCTTGTTTTCTCCAGTGCGCATTATTTACCGCACTGGAGTGTTTTATGCATTGCTGCGTACCACTGTCTTACCGAATAAACCATTTATTCTGTGATTTACCCTCCTGGACTCTGTCCAAATCACCCGCCACAGAAGAACAAACACCATTGTAAATACAACCCATATTTATGTTTATTTATTTTCTCATTTGTACTTTAACTATTTGCACATTGTTACAACACTGTATTTATACATAATATGACATTTTAAATGTCTTTATTCTGTTATAACTTCTGAGTGTAATGTTTACTGTTAATATTTCTTGTTTATTTCACTTTGTTAATCTATCTTAACTATCTACTTCACTTGCTTTGTCAATGTTAACATACGTTTCCCAATAAAGCCCTTCAATTGATATTGAAATTGAATTGAGAGAAAAAGAGAGAGATGGGTGAAATAATGGCGTAACAAAAACAGGTGTGTGCGGTTCTCCTCTCACCGCAGGGATGAGTGTCTCGCCGATGAGCATGCCGAAGATGTCAGTGAAGGTGACGGGCTGTCCGTTGGCCTTCTTGCTCCACAGAGCCTGAATGTAGTTGGTGATGTGCTGGGGCAGCAGCAGTCTCAGAGGGTTACTGCTCACTCTCTTCATCAGCTCCACATTGATCTCCTTAGGACCCTTAGAGGGGAACTCTGGGTGGGAGAACAGGGTCGACATGTACCTGTGGGAGGGACGGAGATAGGGAGGGAGCGAGGGAGGGAGAGGGAAAGAGATGGGAGGAAAGGAGGCAGGAGAACACACAGGGAGAGCACATACAGTCCTCCATCCAAAAACTGGGCAAACGTTGGTGCAGAGGTAGATGGGTAAATACTGTAGGAGAAAAGAAGAGTGGGAGGGAGGGAGAGCATGGTATAAACAGATGAATAGTTGACTGACCAGGTAGATCCAGAGAGGCCAGCAATGTAGGTGGCACAGTCCAGGACCCCAGACTCATACAGGGCCTTCATCACCCCAGAGAAGCCCACCATGGCCCTGAAGCCTCCCCCTGAACCCACTATGGCAATCACCGGCACCTGCACAGACACAGACAAAGACAAAGACAGCCACAGACAGGAAGAGATTGGAAAGGATTAGGATCCCTGTCATAACATGACTCCTTGAGATTCATAGCATCTCAACTGTCAGTAAGCCCTACTTCCTGATGTTACTTCCCTCAGTCAGTCAGTCTACACTAGATGGCTGTTGTTGCATCACTCTACTTACTGCAGTTCCAGGGCCTCTTTCTAACTCTGCAATGACTTCTCTGAACTAGAACCACAGTCATTTCCATAGACATTACCAACAAATATTCTAACCCACTCTTGACACAACAACTGCACTTCACGGAGTTGTGAAATGTTTGAGTATTTACTAGCCCCGGTGGGAATGCGGTGTGACAGCTCAGAAGTTCTGCAACAACACTTTTATGTGGTGGATTATTATCTCATTATGGCTGGTAGCTTCCGGATCATCCGAGAGCACAGGCAGGCAGTGAGAGGTGAGGGTGGAGGCTACAACCAGGAAAACAGGGCCAAATGTCAGCTGCCTCTGAACCAGCCTTCAGAGCTCTCGGTCTGAGAAGAAGATAGGGCCTATAAAATGATCACGTTTGAATACTAAGAAACCTGTGGATATGGTGTACATGTTCTTGCATATAAAAAGCGGTGTTGTTGGCTAATATCGTCTCGTCTATGAACCACTATGCTCAGTAACACTGCAGAGTAAGCCCCCTTTCTATGGCAATAAATGCTTTATTTAGCTCATGTCTATTATAATGCCCTGTCGTTTTGGAATGGTTACCATTCTATGACCCATTGACCCTGCAATGCATTCTAATACATGAGGTATCACATGTAAAACACTGTATTTGACTAGAAGTCAGAAACTGATTTTAAAAAAGAACACTGTGGTTGGCAGTGGGCCGCTCTGCAAGCCTGGGCCCACAGTACTCAGGTATGCCCACCTCCTGAGGGGTGCTGGGGAGGAAGCTGGGCTTCTCCATGTCCAGCAGCTTCTTGATGCCCAGCATCACCCTCTCTCTGCGGGCCTGTCTGAATAGTTTCTCCTTGTCACACAGGGTCAGACTGAACCGCAGGTCCATGTTCGTACTGCATGGGGACACAGATACAAGATAAGGTTTTAACCCTGCATATGGCCATCATAAGCAAGACATAATGTTTATAAAATAAATAGGTCCCACTTTATTTGGATAGTCCAGATTTTCCATCTGTAGATGCTCTACAGATGGTCATACTATTAACAAACTATCTGTTGATAAGCAACTGCTTGCTATGGTTACGGTTAGGATAAGATTAAGGTCTAGGGTTAGAGCTAGGGTTAGGGTTGGTTGATAGTTGAAATGTTACTGATAGTGTGTAGATGGCATGTAGAGCATCTACAGATGGACTATCCAAATAAAGTGTTACCAATAAATATTTTAGAAGAGTCATATTTGACAAATGTAATAATTGATTATCAATGTAGATTGTTAGAGTGCTCAGTTGAATGTGTCCCACTAGCAAAAGCCTGTTTGTGGGGTCAGTGAGTTTAAGAGGTGTGTTGTTGAGTGAAATGAAGTAAGATTAGTTCAGGAGACCTACAGTAAAAAGCATAAACAAAAGCAGACAAAACATATTCACACTTACGTTATTACATTTCAACAACTGCTTTAAAACATCACATGTTTTCCCATATGGAAACAGACAAACATCTCTGTATTCTCTCTAGTAGACCTGTTAGTCAGCCATGATGATTGATGTTATGTTCTGTAGGTTAGCCAGCCATGAATGAAGTTAACTTAGGCTCCAGATCTGATAAGATCTGGTTCCAAGTTGGTCTGGTCTGATACAGATCTCCTGAGACAAACACAACCAAGACCTCTGACCTCCCACCTCCCCATTACTGAGACTACAAACATGCCAAACATGTCCTCCCCTTTATCTAAAACAACAGTCTGGTTAGAGCATTGGGCCGGTAACCGAAAGGTCGCTGGTTTGAATACCCGAGCCGACATGGTGAAAAATCTGTCTATGGGCCCTTGAGCAAGGCACTTAACCCTGAATTGCTCCAGGGGTGCCATACTACTATGGCTGACCCTGTAAAACAACACATTCTAGTTTTTTTGTTGCAACAGTACAGTAAATCTAAGCCATTTGTTTACTGAAAACAGTTACAGTTGTTAAAAGAAGAATAGAGAGAAATATGGTGGCTCCCATTGCCCTGGAAGAAGTGGTGTTCATTGATCTATCTCTTAAACAAACTACGCTTTGGCCCCATTTTTGCTAGAACAATCTATTTGGCGCAAAATTGAAAAACAATTCAACTGGGAAATGAAAAGGCATGCCCAGCCTCCAATATTTAACAATAATTCCTTGTGATCTGGAGGATGGCCTTTCACATTGCCTCAATGGTCCAAATGTGGTATCCGTACCCTTGGCGATATCATTAATAGTTTGAGGACATTCCAAGATCTGAAAGAAGCATTTATTTATATTACCAGGTAACAATTTTTTTCCTTATCTCCAACTTAGGTCAGCTATGCTGGTCTATGGAGTTCCATGGGAAACCCAGCTGTCAAATCATCCAATGATTAAATTTGTAAACAGATTATCTGGTCTCACGAAAGGACTAATCTCTGTAATATATAAACAACTATTAGAAAGCTCATACTCTGAGCTAGCCATCAAAAAAGTATGGCCTACAGATCTAAATGTAACTGAATCATCCTTTAACTGGACCAGAATATGGAAAGATGAAGATGTGGGAAGAGGGGGGATAGGTTGGATGGGAAACATGGTTTCCGGGTGGGGAGGGAGGACGCGGGCGGGTGGATGGGGACTGAGGGGGTTGGGGTGGAGGAGCCTTTTTTGTTTATTTTCCTTTCATACAGAATATTACAAAACTGCTGATGATGTTCTTTGTCTGTATGCATTTCTCAGATTTCTCATTTTGAGTGGCATCCCACAGGTACAGGAAGGGGGTACCTGTAACCCCCATCATCAAAAACGTAGAAAATACATGTTAAGAGCTTTGTACTAAAACACACTGGTGTGGGTTACATAGCTTGAGGTGAATTCCTGTGCTTTGTTTAAGGTGACCACAGTAAGAGTTGCTGCTGCTTCTGCAAAAGCTAATGGGGATCCAAATAAATAGACAGACAGACAACGAGAGGAGTATTAATGGGAGTATACATACCAGACCTCCAGGGCCATCTCTAAGTACACATTGGTTGCCTGTCAAAACAACACAAATCGCTGTGGTTATTGTAGAAGAGAAAACATTGATTAATCTGTCAACAGCCTGGGATAAAAAACAAACAAAAAATGAATCTGTCAACAGCAAAACTCCCTGGGATACAGTTCAACATCCACAAGGAGAGGGGATGAGAGATAGGAGGATGAGGGTAATGAGAGGAGAGAAGGGGAGAGAGATGCAGGTGGGTAAGCTACATTAAGGATGAGGAAGAGTGGACGAAGAGGGATAGATAGAGGGTGAGAGAAGAGAAAGGAAAGGGATATTCAGTAAGAGGTAGGAGGAGAAGAGAGGAAAACCTCACAGCCATAGATGAGTCAAAATCACTCAACCGACAATTACATTTGTGTGAGAGCTAATGTCTTTCAGGCACACTCTTTCCTTCAGGATACTCTACAGACAGACAGTGAAAGTATAGAAGTCTTACTTTGCCGATAAGGAAAGGCACGGTCTCTGTCTGGCCAGTTTTCAACATCTTGGAGATGTTGTACGACGCAGTCCCAAGCGTCTCGTCCATCACGTAATTGGCGTCCATTAAAGTTATCTGATTGAGTACAGCACCAACCAACAAGCTTAAGGCTTCAGCTTCCACATCTTGACCTGACTGGGAGTTCAGTTGATTTGACTTAAATTAAACTGTGCTGAACTGACACTGTTCCATCTCTCACCTCTAGAACATTCTCCTGGTTTGGGTCCAGTATGAAGTCAAATGTCTCATTCCATTCTGGGTGGATGTCATTGTCTATATGCCTCGTTCGTTTCCTGCTCTCAGGGGCAGTGGGAATGAACAGCTCCACATAGGGGTCAGGAGTGTCCACTGCAGACACAAACACGCAAATTCATGCGTTGCATACAGTACATACATTTACAGTACCAGTCAAAAGTTTGGACACACCTACTCATTCAAGGGTTTTTCTTTATTTTTACATTGTAAAATAATATTGAAGACATCAAAACTATGAAATAACACATATGGAATCATGTAGTAAACTAAAAAGTGTTAAAAAAATCAAAATATATTTTATATTTGAGATTCTTCAAATAGCCACCGTTTGCCTTGATGAAAGCTTTGCACACTCTTGGCATTCTCTCAACCAGCTTCACCTGGAATACTTTTCCAACATTCTTGAAGGAGTTCCCACATATGCTGAGCACTTGTTGGCTGGTTTTCCTACACTCTGCCGTCCAACTCATCCCAAACCATCTCAATTTGGTTGAGGTCAGGGGATTGTGGAGGCCAGGTCATCTGATGCACCACTCCATCACTCTCCTTCTTGGTAAAATAGCCCTTACACAGCCTGGAGGTGTGTTGGGTCATTGTCCTGTTGAAAAAAAAATGACAGTCCCACTAAACCCAAACCAGATGGGATGGCGTATCGCTACAGAATGCTGTGGTAGCCATGCTGGTAATGTGTCTTGAATTAAATAAATCACAGACAGTATCACCAGCAAAGCACCCCCACACCATAACACCTCCTCCTCCATGCTTTATGGTGGGAACTACACATGCGGAGATCATCCATTCACCCACACCGTGTCTCCCAAAGACACGGTGGTTTGAACCAAAAATCTCAAATTTGGACTCCAGACCAAAGGACACATTTCCACCGGTCTAATGTCCATTGCTCGTGTTTCTTGGCCCATGCAGGTCTTTTCCTCTTATTGGTGTCCTTTAGTAGTGGTTTCTTTGCAACAATTCGACCATGAAGGCCTGATTCACACAGTCCCCTCTGAACAGTTGATGTTGAGATGTGTCTGTTACTTGAACTCTGTGAAGCATTTATTTGGGCTGCAATTTCTGAGAGCGGTAACTCGAATGAACTTATCCTCTGCAGCAGAGGTAACTCTGGGTCTTCCATTCCTGTGGTGGTCCACATGAGAGCCAGTTTCATAGCGCGTGATGGTTTTTGCTTGAATTGTTCCGTATTGACTGACCTTCATGTCTTAAAGTAATGATGGACTGTCGTTTCTCTTTGCTTATTTGAGCTGTTCTTGCCATAATATGGACTTGGTCTTTTACCAAATAGGGCTATCTTCTGTATACCCCCCTACCTTGTCACAACACAACTGATTGGCTCAAAAGCATTAAGGAAAGAAATTCCACAAATTAACTTTTAACAAGGCACACCTGTTAATTGAAATGCATTCCAGGTGACTACCTCATGAAGCTGGTTGAGAGAATGCCAAGAGTATGCAAAGCTGTCATCAAGGCAAAGGGTGGCTATTTGAAGATTGATTTGTTTAACACTTGTTTGGTTACTACATGATTCCATATGTGTTATTTTATAGTTTTGATGTCTTCACTATTATTCTACAATGTAAAAAATAGTAAAAATAAAGAAAAACCCTTGAATGAGTAGGTGTGTCCAAACTTTTGACTGGTAGTGTACATACAAGCTAACATAGAAATGTACAGAGAGTGATACAAACCTACTGTAGATATATGTTTGATAAACACATAACATAGATAAACACAATGACTATATTTTTTATTACACAGATATAAGAGCAAGTTAATATGAAGTGTTTGAATAGTCTGGCAGGTCTTGAGTATTTGGAATAATTCACATTTCACGACGCAACGTAAATGATTCGTTTTTAAATACAGAACTGACAACTCCCTGTGATATGTTTTTATGTTGGAGAATTTGTGATTGTTAACATGTGAACTAGACGCATGTGGAATAACAGGATGTTGTCACACTTACACATGTCACCCAGTGCTCCCTTAGTGACATTCTTAGCTCGCACCACCGTCACGCTGAACTTGTGAGAGAACTGCTGCTCCACCTGCACACAAACATCAACATAGCCTGTGAGCCAGGACAAACTCATCACACATGCACAGATCTAGCACACTTGAACTCCAACAACTGCCTAGAACTACTTAGGGACAGTGTGTACAATTTTAACTGTACTTTTTGTCTAAACCTGGGCATAGATACAATCATATGATACAAGAGGTGTCAAGGTGAGGTGTGAGTCCGATCCCTTCTCTTTCTATTAAAGATTATCAGAGCACCCTTACCCCAACTATGGGGCAGCTGCTGGTCTTTTTCTGTGGCCTTGTTATTGTTTTGTTTTAGGTTCATCTGTCAGGCAGTCATTTGTAAACATAGGGTATGATGATGTCATTTTGTCTCATCACCATTCCTCTTTCAGTGAATCTGTAGATCTGCTAGTCTTCACTACAGTGTAACAGTGATGAGTGAGACTCAGCAGCAGGCACAGACTCTCACTGGGAACTAGACTGCCATGGTGGGGCTATAGTACAGTAGCATATCTCCAAGTCAAGCCAGTAGGGCGCCTTCTTCATTTAAAAATAGTTTTTATTTGTGTTTTCTTTATTGAAATAGAAAGTCACAAATGAGAAGAGCAGACAGCTAGATAGAGTAATACAGATATGAAGGTGCAGGCAGGGTTTGAACCCATGCCACACAAGGGACAATGTGTGGTCCGGAGTCGGCAGCACTACCACTAGACCAGACTTCAGCACCAGCAGGGTGCCTTCTTTATCCTACCATGATATATAGTAGGCCTAGAGTTGCAATGACGAGAAACATGCAGTGCTGCCCACTAATGTGCTGATAGAGTGAGACAGAAAACAGATAGAGGTTTTCAACTGAAGTTATACTGCTGTCCTCATCAGGGTCTGAGCTTACACACAAGCCAAGGCAGAACAAATTATCTTAGTCAGAAACAGTATGTGTTCCAAGATAGTCTTATTATCTAAAGCAGTGGGTTCCCCCTCATTACTGGAACTGTAAATGCCAAAGACTTTGAATGAAGTGGACATGTGTGGACTTACAATAATGTACTGGTAGGGGTCAATGGAAGACATGGTTGGCTGGTTGGTGTTACCCTCTTGTCCAGTCTCCTTGAACTCAGGAAGATCCTCCAGTGATACTGGGTACTATCTACAGACTCTGGGGACACACAAAGCATCATAATGTAAGGCAGGGGTACTTGACTACTATTTGAGAAGGTCCAGGGACACATTTCCTAGGTGGCAAAGGTCCGGATGGATATCGTCCTTTACTGGCACTGTGGTACAGGGTAGTAACGAACATAGTCGTCTACGACTTAGGAAACATCTTGTTATAGTTGTAGTTGTGGGGAGAATGAATAAATACTGTTCCGTCCACTTGTCTTTGAATATATGGTTTTCAGAGTCAACTTAGATTGAATACTGGTAACTAAGTTCCTTCTATCTGTGATATTTACAGTTGAACTGCAGTCAAATCTTTCTGTTTCTTTCTGCCTGCTTGTCCCAAGGTTCTACAGAGGATATTTGGATTAATGTGATTGGGTAACACGCTGCCTCTTGTATTTGCATATAACACGCGATTGGATTAGACGGGGCACTAGTAGAGGTGGGCGTTGCTTCGAGAGAGAGCGAGAAAGAGAGGTTGTTGAGTTAAAGAGGCCGCTGAGCTGGATAGATTTTTTAAAAGCTGTCTGGAAATAATGTATTGACTTTTATATAACAAAATGCTATGTTGTCCGGTCCGGATTGACCCTTCTCTGGGTCTGGACCGGGACCGCGGGCCGCCAGTTGAGTTTGGCTGATGTAAGGGATGGTGTGGTAGCATCCACAGACTCTAAGGACGCACAGAGAATCATCATGTAACGCTGTGGTATTCAAACCTTTTAGTCAGGGACCCAATTTTTTCCTGCCAGAACTTCTGGGGACCCCATTCTTTTCACAATAATTTCATGCGACCCCACTCCACCCCAAATCTAATGACACAACCTTAAAATCGTTACATTTAGATTTATACATCAACAAATAACCTTTAATTCATTGCATTTTCATCTCTTATCAAAATGAAAAGAAACCAATCAATACATTTACTCAATAAAATTGTATATTTCAAATTATCTTTCTCAAAAATGTTTGCATATTGTTCCATTCAATAATATGTACTCATACATTTTTGTAAAAAAAAAATAAACACAATAAAAACGCTTGTATTTATTTGTATTTTGGCGACCTCACTGCAGTTCCTCCGCGGCCCCGACTTTGAATCCCACTGATGTAAGGGACGGTGTGGTAGCATCTACAGACTCTGGGGACGCACAGAGCATCATCATGTAAAGGATGCGATGAAAAGACAGATATGAAAGTAACTTGTGGCAGAGTTAGTGAAAAAAAATGTATTTGTACTGGTGTATGAAACAGTTTACTGTAACAGTGATGATGCAAATCCTAAAATAATGCCTTGAAATAACTGTGTAACTGGTTAGCAACTACTGTAGTGAGTGTAGGACCCGGGGAGAGAGGAAGTGTGCTAAAGCCACAGGACTTAGATAGGCCTGTGTGTGTGTGTGTGTGTGAGAGAGAGAGAGAGAGAGAAGAGAGAGAGGCCTATGTGACTCAGCGAAGTGAAAGATGCAACCACAGTCTGATAATGTTGTGTGTGTGTCGCCGTGCGTGTGTGTGTCACAAGCTCAGTGTGGCTACGAGGCTTTCCTCAGTTCTCAGTTGTTCAATAAAGCGTAGCATTTCTCTGAGCAGTTCATGCACGTAGTGTGGTGTGTGTGTTCGCAGTGCTGGTCACGTAGTTTGAATGGATGGTCCAAGTTCTGAATGAGCCCGTTCGGGCTGCGACGTGGTGACCTGCATGTGCACCATATTTCTGAAAGATCCACAAAGCAATAGGAGTAGATTGGACAGGAACACAGACACAGCAGGGCCTGACGTTCTGCCACTACTGAGTGGGCGTCTGGTTCTTTAGCTGCCAGGGACATTAAAGAAAGCAGTGCCAATGTGCTTAATAACTACTGGCATCATTATTGGATTAATGGAATGGAATAACAATAATGATTAATCACATTTAAAATTACAATATCATGACTGAATTTGAATGTTCCTAAGCACAAAGCCATGGTCAGAGAATATAACATCATATTTCAAACTCCTTGCACAGACGTACCGGTAACTAACATGCAGTAATATACCATGCTGGGACACTTGTGTTATGTTAAGATATCACTCTGCTCATAGAGAGTGGCGGGACACAATAACATTTAATTAACCTAAATGCTGTGACTTTGATCCAAATTAATGGCAATTACAAAAATGAAGATAAAATATAAAAATTTTACATGGCCAGTAGGGCTGAGAATTGCCAGGGACCTCACGATACGATATTATCACGATACTTTGCTGCCAATAAGATATGTATTGCGATTCTCACGGTTCGATATTTATTGTGATTCGATGTTCCAAACCTATTGCTCACCATATGCCTGCTACAGAGGGAAAAGAGAGAGCCTTGAGAAAACAAGTTTTGATCAGTCATGGAAATAAAAGTGCTGAAAACAAATTGCCTACCTATGTAAAAAGAAGATGGAGAACAAGCTATGAAGGAAAAGTACTGGAGTTTTGGGGCAGGTACAGCCAACTAGCTCAAAAATAATATTGAGATATTGTCAAAATGATTCAATATATCGTCAAAAATAATATCCCGATATGTAACCGTATCAATTATTTCCACCATCACTAAAGGCAAGATACAGCAATGAAAACAATTGCTAACACCAGTTGATAATATTGTTAAATGTCATAAAGGAGACCAGGCAGGCAATAATCCAGTTTAGTTATGTTTAATAACTCTTAAGGTAAGCAACTTAACCATGGCTGCAACTACATATGAGCAGTGGTGCAGTGAAATGTCTTTAGGTGAGGGAGAGCCAAACAATTATGTAAATGACATAATTTCCTCAAAGTTTGTACTGGCAGATGTAGCCAATTGAATAGCCTATCATTATAGAATATGCATAAAAGGCATCCTCCAATTGCAACGTCTGTCTATGCCCACTCATATTGTCTAAAGAAAATACCCTCAAACACCAATTTAGGCATAGGATACCTAATTTCAAAATAGGCCATCATCACTGTCAATCTTTGAATGATAATTCTCAACGTTTTACCGGTGAAACATCCAAACTGCATCTCCATGCCAATCATTTGATTGATCTCAAATCAGTTTCATGGGGATATGCATTTAGATATTCTTTAACTACTGTTTCGAGAGAATTAGAGCAGATAGTTTGTTAACACCATTAACCTTTCTGGTGGCGCTCTGTTGAGTTTTGGCACATGAGCACTTTTTGTTTTTTTACTATTCAGCTTCAGCTAACCATCCTAAAATCTCATTAGAAATTAGGATGGTTTTTTGGTGTAACAGTAATGTTATAGGCCTACAATGCTATACTATAATATTCTGTTCTGCTATGTAAAATGCAAAGGAATCATTATGTGATCTTGCAAAACATTGGATTAGCTTCGATCAATCTTTACTAAACGAGCACCATTGTGAGAAGTGATAATCTTCTCACATAATAATAATAATAATAATAATAATAAGTGATGAGTATGACTATTAGGCGTAGGCAAAAGGTCTTGATGAGATGCCATTTTAAGTGATTGGAATGCCCTTCGTGGTGCTGAAAGGACGTAGCCAGGATCGCGCAATGGTGTTAAAGAAGTTGAACCAACATGTGGTGCTGATGAATAGCTCTGCCATTCGGCCAGTTCAGGAACAACCAACAACAAGCAACAATAATGTGCAGTATAGCCTAATAAGCTTACGACTACATGGTATAGCTATTTGTAGGCTATAACATAATTTAAATACAAATACATATACAGTTGAAGTCGGAAGTTTACATACACCTTAGCCAAATACATCTTAAGTCAGCTAGGATCACCACTTTATTTTAAGAATGTGAAATGTCAGAATAATAGTAGAGAGACAGATTTATTTCAGCAATTATTTATTTTATCACATTCCCAGTGGGTCAGAAGTTTACATACACTCAATTAGTATTTGGTAGCATTGCCTTTAAATTGTTTAACCTGGGTCAAACGTTTCGGGTAGTCTTCCACAAGCTTCCCACAATAAGTTGGGTAAATTTTGTCCCATTCCTCCTGACAGAGCTGGTGTAACTGAGTCAGGTTTGTAGGCCTCCTTGCTCGCACATGCTTTTTTCGGTTTTGCCCACACATTTTCTATAGGATTGAGGTCAGGGCTTTGTGATGACCACTCCAATACCTTGACTTTGTTGTCCTTAAGCCATTTTGCCACAACTTTGGAAGTATGCTTGGGGTCATTGTCCATTTGGAAGACACATTTGCAACCAAGCTTTAACTTCCTGACTGATGTCTTGAGATGTTGCTTCAATATATCCACATACTTTTCCTTCCTCATGATGCCATCTATTTTGTGAAGTGCACCAGTCCCTCCTGCAGCAAAGCACCACCACAGCATGATGCTGCCACCCCTGTGCTTCATGGTTGGGATGGTGTTCTTCGGCTTGTAAGCATCCCCCTTTTTCCTATAAACATAACGATGGTAATTTTGGCCAAACAGTTCTATTTTTGTTTCATCAGACTAGAGGACATTTCTCCAAAAGGTACGATCTTTGTCCCCATGTGCAGATGCAAACCGTAGTCTGGTTTTGTAGCAGTGGCTTCTTCCTTGCTGAGTGTCCTTTCAGGTTATGTCGATATAGGACTTGTTTTACTGTAGATATAGATACTTTTGTACCTGTTTCCTCCAGCATCTTCACAAGGTCCTTTGCTGTTGTTCTGGGATTGATTTTCACTTTTCGCACCGAAGTACATTTATCTCTAGGAGACAGAAGGTGTCTCCTTCCTGAGCGGTATGACGGCTGCGTGGTCCCATGGTGTTTATACTTGTGTACTATTGTTTGTACAGATGAACGTGGACTCAGGCGTTTGGAAATTGCTCCCAAGGATGAACCAGACTTGTGGAGGTCTACAATTTCTTTTCTGAGGTCTTGGCTGATTTCTTTTGATTTTCCCATGATTTCAAGCAAAGAGCCACTGAGTTTGAAGGTAGGCCTTGAAATGCATCCACAGGTACACCTCCAATTGACTCAAATGATGTCAATTAGCCTATCAGAAGCTTCTAAAGCCATGACATCATTTTCTGGAATTTTCCAAGCTGTATATTGGTACAGTCAACTTAGTGTATGTAAACTTCTGACCCACTGGAATTGTGATACAGTGAATTATAAGCGAAATAATCTGTCTCTAAACAATTGTTGGAAAAATTACTTGTGTCATGCACAAAGTAGATGTCCTAACCGACTTGCCAAAACTATAGTTTGTTAACAAGAAAAATGTGTGTAGTGGTTGAACATTTTTAATGACTCCAACCTAAGTGTATGTAAACTTCCGACTTCAACTGTAGCTTAATATGATTGCACTGTTTGCCACGAGAGCTTTATTGCGAGTAGGCATTCTATTGTATTGTGTAGCTTACACGCTGTATCATAAAAAAACAACGTTGATTTGATTAGCTTGAAGACATAGAATAAAAGAAAACAGAGAGGTGAACTATCAAACCACCATTTATCTACCTCTAGGCTGCTATACATTTTGATTTGGTTTTGTCATTCTATCGTTTTTCATGGAATTGTTGTGGTAATTAAATATAATTTATTTAGAATCTATTAGAATACATTTTCCAGAAATAGTTTTACCAGCTCTGTGTATTCTCAAATTGAAAAAAGTGAGGGAGAGCCGCTCCTCCACGCTCCAGCAGCACAACACCCCTGCATATGAGGAGACCAAGGTCCAGAACCAAATACAGGTGTGCCAGTAAAAGGGTAATTTGTCTAATATGAAAATAATAATAAAATATATATTTTGTACACAACAAATAACATCTATTAGGCTAATGGGTCAACATCTAATTATTGCTCCCAGTGTTGATCAAAGCTCAGAATGCTTATATATTCTGACTGAGTCTCCAAGGAAATGGAAGAAACACAAAAGAACTGTCAATCTCCCTCGGCCTGGGGCTCCATGCAGGATCTCACCTCGTGGAGTTGCAATGATCATGAGAACGGTGAGGAATCAGCCCAGAACTACACGGGAGGATCTTGCCAATGATATCAAGGCAGCTGGGACCATAGACACCAAGAAAACAATTCATAACACACTACGCCGTGAAGGACTGAAATCCTGCAGCGCCCGCAAGGTTCCCCCCCCCCCCCCGCTCAAGAAAGCACATATACAGTGGGGAATTTTTTTATTTAGTCAGCCACCAATTGTGCAAGTTCTCCCACTTAAAAAGAAGAGAGAGGCCTGTAATTTTCATCATAGGTACACGTCAACTATGACAGACAAAATGAGGAAAAGAAATCCAGAAAATTCCATTGTAGGATTTTTAATGAATTGATTTGCAAATTATGGTGGAAAATAAGTATTTGGTAATTAACAAAAGTTTCTCAATACTTTGTTATATACCCTTTGTTGGCAATGACACAGGTCAAACGATTTCTGTAAGTCTTCACAAGGTTTTCACACACTGTTGCTGGTATTTTGGCCCATTCCTCCATGCAGATCTCCTCTAGAGCAGTGATGTTTTGGGGCTGTCGCTGGGCAACACAGATTTTCAACTCCCTCCAAAGATTTTGTATGGGGTTGAGATCTGGAGACCGGCTAGGCCACTCCAGGACCTTGAAATGCTTCTTACGAAGCCACTCCTTCGTTGCCCGGGCGGTGTGTTTGGGATCATTGTCATGCTGAAAGACCCAGCCACGTTTCATCTTCAATGCCCTTGCTGATGGAAGGAGGTTTTCACTCAAAATCTCACGATACATGGCCCCATTCATTCTTTCCTTCCTTATCCTACACAGATCAGTCGTCCTGGTCCCTTTGCAGAAAAACAGCCCCAAAGCATGATGTTTCCACCCCAATGCTTCACAGTAGG